ATTACGCATATCTTTCAAAAAATAAAATCAAAGACTGATTTTTAAAAAATCAAATACATTCATTAAGATACTGTATATATAGGTCACCTTAAATCTTTCTATTTATTTTCACCATCCACTGTATATATCTGGATGCACTGTACATACTTCATGCACCTTTTCCTCCTTTGTGCATCTCCTCTTTGCTTATAAGAGTCGATGTCACAAGTGAATTTTTCCATTGTGAAATGAATAAAGTTGTATTTTATTCTTTCTAAAGATATCTACAACAACTAAGCAATAACACTGAACTGTTTTTTTCCATTGTGCATGTCACTTTTCTCATGTACTGCTGTGTTTGCTATGCTCATTCCAGACTGAGCTAAATGTTTTCTGTGGGGTTATAAAGGGGTTCTTTTTTTATTTCACTTGTTTTTTACTAAATAAACTTAGCATGGAGATGCTCCAAACACAATTTTGTTATTCTTCTGTGACAATGACGATACATATTTGAATCTTGATTCTGATTTCCTGAAATAAATTGGATGTTTAAATCCTTATGAATTTGAGAGAAAAAAAAACAGGAACAAGTTTCTAAAAGTTTTAAAAACCAGATTTTATTCAGGATCTCTTTGACAGAGCTTGTTGTAAATTAATTAAAATCAAAACATTTTATTAAAAGTGAATTTAAGTGCAGCTAAGATCAGTGAGCTGATGGATGAATACCTAATTAGTATGGGATTGCAGAGAAAGCAAACAGCCTCGTTTTTTGATGAAAAGTGCTAAATTTTCAATATTTTGCTTTTGAAGATTTTAATTCATTGATAATAAAATGTCCCCCTAATTAAAAATGACAAGTCCTCATCCACCTGTGCTGGTGGTCCACCTTTGAAACATTCTTGACTCAAAGTTGGTTTCAGAGAAGGTTTCACTGCTGTAAATCGGTGTAAAAGCAGCTGGAATCTAATTTAGTAAATGTTTTCAAGTCAAGTCAAGTCAAGTCAGCTTTTATTGTCATTTTCTACATATGTACAAGACATACAAGGGAAATGAAATTACGTTTACTCTCTGCAATATACAAATATACAAGAAATATACAAGACTAACATTTAAAAACTGACATAAAGTGCGGGACATGACAGGTAAGAGTGGTAAGATAAATATAAGTATGAAATATAAACATTACAATAAAAAGCAATAAAAACAGCAGCAATAGTTTGTTCCAGGCTGAGGTAGTGCAGGTAAGGTGCAGTCTCTGGTACAGTGTGTGTGTGTGGGTGTGTGTGAGAGAGAGAGAGAGCGAGAGAGGGGGGAGGCAGTCTTAGCTTCCTGTCTGCCTGGTGGCTGGAGCAGACCGTGTGGGGAGGGGGTGGAGGGAGTTCAGCATTCTGATGGCCTGGTGGATGAAGGTGTTCGCCAGCCGGGTGGTTCTGGACCGTAGGCTTCTGTACCTCTTTCCGGAGGGCAGGAGACGGATGTAGCACCACCAGATGTAGCAGTGAAACTGTTACTGCCATAGATAACAATAATTTAAATAAAAGTTATCTTAATATTGTATGGTTGATTGAAATTATGACGCTAAAATTTAGCAGTTTGGTTTAAGAACACGTGGATGTATGCCGTGATGCAAATGGACACATATTTAGTGCCAATTAAGAACAATTGAGACAGAAAATTATAATGATGATGATGATTTAAAGCTGACAGGTTTGTCCGCTAATGGATCAGAGTCGTGTGTTTATTGTGTTTTGTAAATTTAATATTTTGTTTAGGTTGAAGCAAGTGAAAGTTCTGTTCATCCTGTTCAACAGTTTCTAAGTTCTACAGTTTGAACAATTGAAATGCAAAAATATGGAGAGAAATTTTTATCTAATATGCAAAGCAAGCATGTTTCAAATCAGGGAATTTTAAGAAAATTAATTTCAAAAGGGTTTGATAGTTGTGTTCAAAAGTTCAACCAAAAGTTCACCAATATTTGTACAGTTTGTTTTTTTCCATTCATATTTTGTCTTTCAAATTTGAATTTGATCACATTTGTTTTATGTGTTCATCTAAATGCTGATGTGTTTAGTTATTAGTTTATTTTTTCGTCTGTTAAATTGACTTCAGTAACTTTTTAAAAAGAGAAAGTAGTTTGTTAGCAGTTTTACCATTATTGTACATAAGCTTGTTTTATTAAGTGAAGTTACTCGTAGTAGATGAAGAAGCCAGACATTTGACTATAGTAAGATCAGTGAAACTTAATATTTTTACTCATGTAAAAGTAAAAAGTACAACGCTGTAAATCTGCTAATAAAAGTACTTTAAAAAAAGTTTCTGAAGTTAATGTAGCTGAGTAAATGTATTTATTTATTATCTACCCTGTTTCTGATGCAGTAATCCTAAATAATTTTCCTAATAGATGGACAGACAGAGCATTGCTCAGATGGTTTTATACTGATTTTTTATTTTTTTTTTATTTTGGTGTTTTATTGATAGAATTTAATCTCTAAGACTATAAGAGTCAGAGAGCTACGGAAGAGGATTAGGGCCAGTGAAAAAAAAAGTTAACTGATTTTTTAATTTTATTTCAGTATAGTATGGGGAAAAAATTAGAATTCTGAGATTAAAGTCAGAATTCTGAGATTAAAGTCAGAATTCTCACTTTTTCCCCATACTATACTGAAATAAAATTAAAAAAACAGTTAACTTTTTTTTTTCCAGTGGCCCTAATCATCTTCCGTAGAGAGCCATTGTTGACCTTGAAACAAAAATATATGTTATTGAGTAAGTGTAACCCCCAACCCGTCCCTGAATCCCCCCATCAGAATCGAACCTGCTCTCTGTGAGCTGATCCGGGGTCTCCAGCTGATGTTCAGCAGTCTCTGACGGTGGATCTCCTCTTCGTACTGGATGATGGTTTTTTCCACCTCTGAGAAGATTTCTTCAGCAGCAGCAGTTAGTCTCTGTCTGATAAACTCTCTCAGAGGCTGAACTGAACTCATTGTTGCTGTGGAGCCTCAGGAATTCACCCAACAGAGAACAGCCAAGCTAACTATGCTAACAGATGCACCGGAAGTCACTGAAGCTGAAGTACTTCCTTTAGCCGCTGTTGCCCGTTCGCGCTGTTGAGCCGCCATCTTGGAGAGGTCGTCCGCTCCACTCAGTGTAATTCATTTAAACAGGTTCAGGGAAATTTCAGCGCGTTTAGTAAACAACTCGCTGAATACGACACTTTTTGTGCTACAAACTTTATAAATTAAACTATCATAGCTTCATGTGTGAGAAAACACGATTCTGCAGATTATTATATTTGATGGAGTTAAACATTAAAAATTCTATATGATGTACATGTTTAAAAAAAACACTCATCCTACAATACATTTAGATTTTTATTAGTTAATATCTATATATATTAGGGGTGTGCAAAATAATCGTCATGATGATTCATCGTGATTCTAATTTTCGTGATCTACTGCATCGATTCTTGATGCCAAGAATCGATTATTAATTTAAAAAAATGAATAAATAAAATTGCATGAATGGTTGGCGAACATCAGCCAAAAACAAGTGTAATACAACTTCCAGTCCAGTAGATGTCACTGCAAATGTGTTGACGCACGCTGCCTTGTGTCACAAGCATTTCCGGCCGCGGGATACTGTGCCGAGTCATTCAAAAACAAAACATGGAGGATAAACTATTGCAATGCATCGCAATAATTCAAGTATCGTGATGCATCGTGATAGAATCGCATCGTGGCCTGTGAATCGTAATTCGAATTGAATCGTGACTTCTTTGGCAATACCCACCCCTAATATATATATAGATATATTTCTGAGATACTTCTGAAAAGCTATCTGTATTTGCAGGGCCGTACGCAGGGCCCTAAAAAATACTGAAGTCAAGAGTCAACACTTTTTTTTTTATTCTATTATTTAAATCTGGCCATTTCCAGAGTCTTAAGGACTTTTAAAAAAAAGGCTCGACTGTGAATTTCGCCTCTTCCGTCTCACCTGCAAGACATTTCAGACATTATAAACTTGATTTTAACGTCATCTTTCTTTTGAAGCTTCCGTCTAAAACTGGTTAGAAATGTGTCACAAATTACATTCCATCACGATTGAAATTAGTTGCTTCATGTTTACTTGCGTATTTAAATAGACACCCAGACCCTAATACACTATTATTTTAATGATGTAAGATTTATATTATAATCTTACACAATACTTCAACTTAAACATCCAACTTTTGAAACAGTTTAGATGCATTATCTTCAGTACCTTCCTTTTTTAGTACCCACTCCCCCTCTATCTCTCCTCTTTCTGCTAGTCTAGCTGATGGCCCAAGGAGGGGCAGCAACTCTGCCTTTTCTACCTTGGTTTCCCTTTAGTGAAGAATATCAACAGAGCCAAAAACTAAACTGATAAAAATGAAAACAATTAGCATTTCATCATCATGTTTCAATTAGTTTTATTTGACATCACAATATGTTAACATGAACTGAAAGTAAATAATATTCCCTGGTTGCAGAGAAGCAAAGAATACATTAGCAAAACTAGTTATAAGTATGAATATTAGACAAGCTAGAAAATTTGGGGGTTGGAGAGGAGCTGGATTATCTGACAGAAAGGTCAGAGAGGAGAATGTTGGCCAGGATAAAATCCAGGCTGGAAAATTCTGCATATCCTCTTCATGATGTGCTGGTCACTCACAGAAGCACCTTCGGCCTGAGACTCATATCGCCATGCTGCACCACAGAACCCATTCCTGCCTGTGGCCATCAAACTGTATAAGTCATCTCTCTGACAGCCATTTCATTTCATTATTTATTTAGTTCAGTACTTCAGTATGCTGGTGAAGATCATCCAGGTCATTCAAAAAAAAAAGAAAATGAAAAACAATCCACTGTACCTCAATTATCATGCATTAAACATCCAACTTTTGAAACAAAGTCTATTGGATTGTTTTTCATTTTCTTTTTTTTGAAATACTTCATTATGCGAAATAACACGGTTATATGCAATAGTAGTAATTTAGGTACTGATCAGTAATGTACATAGCAAATAACGTTGTTTGTACATAGTGAGATCTTATCTTATTTCGTTCTTATTTTTTTTTTTTTTAGGTTTTTATGGATTTATTGGCTCGTATTTTTGTACAGTGGGGTAACAGGAAAGGTGTTTACGGGACAATCAGTACTTAATCTGTAGCAAATGTCAAACAGATTACCTGATTTTTTTTCATGTTTCTTCAAGATAATTGGAGTCTATTTTCAAAAGGTCGATAAAATAGATTTTTTTGTGGATAACAGTGCGCTTTGTTGCCCTTTGGACATTTACAATTGGTATAACCGCCCTTTGGTTCAACACACCTGCTTGTGTATTGCTGCGTTCACACAAAAAAGTCAAAAACACGTAAATGCAGAAATCTGGACGCTGGGTAAAACACTGGATCAAACTGCGGTTAAGTTGCTTTGACGCTTCTATGTTCTGCTTGTTTATCTGCTCTGGTCTGTAGCTTAAAGCTAAAGAGCAGCTTGGCTTTATTTACTTCATGAGTTGAAAAAAAAAATAGTTTTGACACGTTTTTAAGCAAGAAATTCCACCTCCAAACATCATTCTTGCAGTCAGCTCATCAGGATTATGATCCCTTTAAAATATGCACTTCTTGTTCGTAGCTCCGGACTTCCAGCATACCGCTTGACCGCAGCGCTAGAAATCCCTGCTGCGGCCATCCTGCAGGGGATTTCCAGCTGCTGTTCATAGCGGCTGGAAGTGAATGTAAAGAGTTTTTAAGGTTTGTGGTCAAAACTAAAAGTACCAAAATTTACAATTGAATATTTTTCATTGACAGGTTTTAACGTTTTTAGTTAATTTGGGTATTCGTAAAATGTTTCGCCACAGTTCATAAAAAATGTTTTGGTGCAGCAATAATGATCCGAGCTATCTCTCTGTTCCTTATGGCCTACATAACAATCAATTCTCCTGGCTTTTTTTAAAACCTTTGGAGCTTCACCCCTTAATCCAATCAATAACATTTTATGTGTTAAGCACTTAAAAACAACCACAGCTCATCAAAGTGCTGTACAGGAAAAATAAAATATAAAACAGTACAGATAAAAACAAAACAGCTACAAGATGGCTAAAAATAATATTCACACAATCAAATCAAGAAAAATGGATGAAAGAAATATAAGGATAAAATAAAATAAAGCTCACTGTCTTGCTGGTTGTCAAAAGCCAAAGTGAAAATCTTTGTTTTGACAAGAGATTTAAAATTAGTCAGATTAGAGGCCTGTCTGAAGTGCTCAGGCAGGTCATTTTTTTAGGCTTGAGCTTTGGAGCTGCAATAGCGAAAGCGCAGTTCCCTCTGAGCTGGAGAATTCATGGAGTTCCTTGTAGAGAAAAGGCTCTAGATTAAATCCTACACCACAGAACAAAAAATATGTCTGATCAGATTAGTGTCATATCTGTTTTGTTGGCTAATAACAACTTTTAGCTTAACTAGCTTTAAGGAGAGCTAAGACTGCTGTAAAAGACTGTCTGGTACAGGACTCATTCAGTGACAGATCTGACCCTCTCAATACAAAGGACAGTTTTTTAGAACAGGATACCACAGTGAGCATCAACCAAGAGCCGATTATTGATCAGAAAATCATCCAATAAATCTTAAATTAACAAATTCCTGTGTTAAAATGTAGGCAGTATGGATGGGTATTTTCACCAAAGTTCTGAATCGATTCAATTTTGATTCATACAGTTCTAAATCGATTAATTTCGATTCAATCTGTTTTTACAATAATGAAAGTGGTTCATTTATTGGTGGTATTTTGTGGTATTTTTTTCCTGTCACATTAAACACAAAGTGCAAACTTGTAAATCAGACAGTTTAAACTTGAGATGTGAACAAAACTGTCTCAAAACTGCAAACTTGTTTGTGAAAAGTGAAGCCTCACTCGAGCAAGCAGACATGATACAGCAGGGACACAGCAGACATGCGTCTGCTGCATTATCTTCACGGCACGAACCAAATTTGCAGCATTGTCTTTAAAGCTGAAGTCTGTAAGTTTTAAAAATCACTTTTTTGTCATATTGGCTAAAACTGTCCCTATGCCCAGACAGCAGTACATGTGATATGTAACCTGTGAAAAAAACTGCTTCAATTGGTCCCGCATAGGCAGCGTTGCTTTAATATCAGATGGACATTGAAACTGTAAGTAGAGATGCAGGTGGGGTTAGCTTACGCCTCCCCCTGTGTGCCTCTTTATGTGAGAAGTCAAATCACCATTCGTGCAGAAGCCCTTTCCGCAAGTAAGACATGAGAAAGGTCTCTCCCCTGTGTGGGTCCTCATGTGATAGATCAGGAGGCAACGCCGAGACAAGCGCTTACCACAGAGCTCACACTCGAAAGGCTTCCCGGTGTGAGCTCTCATGTGCACGTTTAAATCGCCTTTCCGTAGGAAGCCTCTTCCACAGATTTTGCAGGAGAAAGGTTTCTCGCCCTCATGGGTGGTGGTGTGTTCGTTCAGAGCGCTCCGGCGAAAAAAGGATTTTCCACAGTTGCCGCATGATAAAGGCCGCTCGCTTGTGTGCACGCTCATGTGGATTCTCAAACTGCTCCTCAGGCTGAATTTCTTTCCACAGGTTTTACAAACGAATGGCTTCGTGTGTGTTCTCATGTGGTTCACCAGACTCCGACGCACACTGAAGCCTTTCCCACATGTAGGACACACAAATGGCTTCTCCCCGGTATGAGTCTGAAGGTGCTTCAACAGGCGGCACTTTGTAGAAAAAAATTTCCCACAGATCTTACAGAACAGATCCTCCTCAGCATCAGGTCTTTTCGGACCTTCACCCTCTGGACCACCTCTGTTCTCTTCGCCTGGATTTGTTCCTTGTGTCCCACTCCATCCTGCGTCTTCTTCAGTGCTTCCCTGCTGATGTTGGTTCTCTGATTCTGAAGAGTTTAGGTAGAGAACTTGCTTGCTCTGTAGTTCTGGGTGACTCACTATTAAGATCTCAGTTTCCTTCTGTACAAACTGCTCTTGTTCTTGACTGATAAACATGTCATTTTGTTCTGCCTTTAGTTCTTCCTCTTTGTTTTGACAAGGTCCTGCGTCTTCTTCAGTGCTTCCCTGCTGATGTTGGTTCTCTGATTCTGAAGAGTTTAGGTAGAGAACTTGCTTGCTCTGTAGTTCTGGGTGACTCACTATTAAGATCTCAGTTTCCTTCTGTACAAACTGCTCTTGTTCTTGACTGATAAACATGTCATTTTGTTCTGCCTTTAGTTCTTCCTCTTTGTTTTGACAAGGTTCTGGTTCTCCCCATTCCTGTTTAATTTGCAAAGATTGAAACTCGTCCTGCTCTTCTTTCACCCATACAGGTTCTGGTTTCTCCTGATCCACTCTGCAGTGCCTTTCCTGGTTGTTCAGCAGTTGGTCATTGAGCAGCTTCTCCTCCATCCCAACATGGTTCTGCTGGAGTTCTGGACAGGCAGAGAGACACAGTGAGATAAGGATTTATGTGAACAATTCAATGCAAGCTTCTTTTGTCCTATAGTTTATTTCCAGATGGAAATAAATATTTCATCCTTATACTACCATTCAGCTCCTGATCATTTGTGGAGGTAGAAATAAAAAAATAAAACCATAGACTGATTTCTTAATCAAATACATTAAAGATAATGTCTACATGCAATAAACAATAACACAGAACTGTTTTTTCTACTGTTAAACATGTCGCTTTTCTCATGTACTGCTGTTTGGATGCTGATGCCAGACTGTGCTAAATGTTTTCTGTGGGGTTATTTAGGGTTTCCTTACTTATTTCACTGGATTTGCACTTCATGAACTCCACATGGAGATGCTCCAAACACCATTTTGTTGTTCTACTATTGCAATGACAATAAACATTATAATATTTATTCTGGTTTTCTGAAATACATTGGATGTTTAAATCATTCTGGGTTTGAAGAAAAACAAGAACAAGTTTATAATAAAAAGTAAAAAAAAAAACAAGTTTCAAATCAGGGAATTTTAGGAAGATTTGTTTCAAATATGGAATTAAAAACATTTTTTTGACATTTAAGTGCAAAAGTTCAACTAAACATGCAAATTGGAACAGACAAATGGAGTCGTTTGGCGTTTTTGGTAGCCTGCAATGCCCCATAACCGTCTAAGTGTCTGAAAGGGGGCGTTCAGACGGGTATGGGGCATTGCATCTTTGATACCATGTACACTCATGCTACGTTCACACTGGACGCAGCAAGAGAAGCAAAATCGCGTCTGCTGCTTCATTTTTGCTGCTTGTACCAGTTAGTTCTGACGTGCGGCTGAAGCAGCTTTGCTGCTCTGGCTGCGCGGTGCAAAAGCGTGTCTGACGCGCGTTGGGCAGAGCTACTCTATCCTTTCTCTGCCTTACAGCTATATTTGCTGTGATCAGTGGGAATAACGTAGTTTTAATATGTTTTAAAGTGAGAAAATCCACCTGAAAACTTAATCAGTGCAGTCAGTTCATTCAGATTATCATCCTGCCTTCTAATATTATTTCTGTCGAAGCCGCTCAGACCCCCACATACCGGCGGTGAGCTGTATGGAAGGCCCCATTCAACAGCAGCCTCTGGCCGGGTCGCCTCCTCGCGGTTCACCGCGGCAGCTGGTAGGTGGTTTTCATCTAAATAATCCAAACTGCAGGCACCGGGATAACAAAAGTGAACATATTCTGTCGGCAGGTTTCAGCATTTTAAGTTAATTTAGGCGTTAATAAACTGTTTCAGAGGAGCGATCACAGCGCTCTGTGTCATCAGTGATGTGTCTGTCTCACGGCCAGCTCCCAGATCAGCTTCTCTGATTGGTTGATGCGGCGCGTCAGGCAGCAAAAGTAAAATTTTTCCATCTCGAGCAGCAGCGCGTTTGCGGCGCGTCAGATGCTTAAACGCTCCCGACGCGCTGCTTCAGCTGCTCAAAACGCGCTGCGGGACCTTTTGCTGCGCCTTGACGCGCGTCAACCATTGACTTTGCATGTAAACTTGCTGCTTCTGCCACGCCTGCTGCATCCGGTGTGAACGTCGCATTAGAACCTGATCTGTCTGAGGGCTGTCTTCCACTAAGTCCTGACTCTGTGACTTTTTACTCCTGTTCAGTGAGCGGCAAGTGACTATTTTTCATGTTTTTGTGCAACCATTACCAGTTAAATGCTAAATTGTCAAGGTTTTATAGTGATTTGTGATTGTGCAGACAATATGATCTGTACTGTCTTCTTTCCCAGATGTTATTTCCAATTGTCTTATTGTTGCCAAAGTAAAATTTACACCAACTAAAACTGATTTTGCACATGTATTGTACTGTATTTTTAAAGGTAACACACTGGCAGCTGCGGATGCCAGGTATTCACCGTGAAATTTAACTGGTTGAAATAAAATATTTAGAAATTTATTGTGTTTTTTTTATCAACTTCCCCTTTAAAAAGGTTTACAACATTTCAGTAGTAATAATAATAATAATGTTTATCCCACATTGTAAAATAAACAAGAAATTACAGTAAAAAGAACTGTAATGTATCAATTATACAGCAGATAAATGTAACAATCAATGGAAAGGGTTATTTTTTATATGGGGCATTACAGATCAAGGTTTTACGGTATTTATTTTTCCTACAATGATTTACAATGGAAAAACATGTTTTTTAACTGTAGAATTTACCGTATTATCTTGTACAGATTTCACCTTTTTCACTGTAATTTCCTGGCAATCAGAGCCACCGGTATTTTACTGTAATTTGTTTTGTGAGTTATTTATTTTTTACCCTTTACAGTCATAGATGGAACATCTTCTGTTGGCTTTATGGTAATGACACCAACAGTTAAAAAGCTAAGCTGTAGGGGTGGCTGGTTCAATGCCTACTCCTTTTTTTAATTTTATTTAAAAGAAAGATTTATTTATTTTTTTAAAGTTACCAGATGAAAAAAAAATGACTTTAATAACTATATCAGTTTTGCATCACCCCATGTGGACTGATAATACAAATTAGAGTCTGCAAAATGCCCAATGCCATAAAGATTCAGAACTCCATCTAAAAATGAAAAATTCTGAAAGGAAATAAATGAGAAAAACTTTATGAAAATTCAAGGTTAACATTTGCAGCTAATTTGACTAAATAGAAATAAAGAAACTGTGTGAGAACTAGTTTACATCTAAAACTCTCCCATAAATATTTACTTTGCATACAGTAAAAGCTTTAACAGATGCCTCCAGTTCTGATCAGACTATAGTGGGCTGTCAGACTCATACTGACCTCCTTCCTGCATCCATTCTCCAGCACAGCTAAGTCAGATCGGTACCAGAACTACTGAGAAAAGGACCTGGGCAGCCCTTAACCTGTCTACTCTAAGCAGAAACCATCACTTCTGCAGCAGGATCTGAATCCACAAACCAGTCCCTGAATGTCACCCCAGTAGAACCCATCAGAACCGAACCTGCTCTCTGTGAGCTGATCCGGGGTTTCCAGCTGATGTCCAGCAGCATAATTGTCTTGATGCCAAAAGGAGCCCAACAGATTTTACTTTCACAAGTGTAGCGGTATGGCAATTGCCATACTGCTCCACTTGTTTCATGCATATAAATTGCTTTATTATAATTATGCAGGGAGTTTTACAGTTCAAGTAGAGCAGAAAAACAGAAGAAGAAGAAGGAAAAAGAAAAAGAAAAAAAAAGGACAAAAGATGAAAGAAAGAGGAGATAGGAAGGAGACAATGACAAAACATTTTCAGTCTGCTTCATCACCTGCAATGAGATGAAAAAAAAAAGAACAGCACAACCAAAAGACATGGTACGAGATATACAATAAAGCAAACACCTTGAAACTATCGCTAAAGTAATATTATTAAATCTGACATGTACTCTGTGTTACCTGAAGATATGAATGTGGGGTTTCTGTTTGGAAGTGAATCTCTAAGTACCTGAAGCCTAGCACCTGTAGTTGTTTGTGAGGGTGAACTTGTGCATGTAAAGTTTTAACCATAGAAAAAATGCTCAATAGTGGTTGTGGAGAGCCGGAGAGGCACACCCCCCAGAGCACTGAGTCCAGCGCCGGGAGACCCAAAGCCCCAGGCGCCCAAAGGGACCCCAGAAGCGAAGGCACCAAGGCGGGGCCATCCCCGGAAATCAGACCCCCACCAAGGGAGGAGGAGAGACAGCCACGAAGAAGCCCCCCAGCCACCGCCATGCCGGCGCCCCGGGGAGCCGCGGGGACGAGTCCGCGGGCCCCGCCGGCAGCCGGCCACCCCAAAGTAGGGCCGGGCACCGAACACGCCCACGGCCGGGGCCCACGCGCATCCGCCGCGAACCGGCCGCGAGCGCCGCGGGACCCCCCCAAAACGCCCCGCCCCCGGCCAAAAGCGCAGCCCAATCCCACCAAGACCGATGCCAACAGCGCGCAACGAAACACACCGCGCACAGAATCAGCCCGAGAGCAGAAAAGCCGCCCGGCGCAAAACCGCAAGAAGAGCAGACCGTGGCCGGCGCAACCACCCCCCCACCCCCCCCCCCCCCCCCAGCAGCCCTTCCCACCCCAAGATCTTCTTCCCACTATCACCACCCCCCACCCCCCCTCCGGAGATGTAATCCCTCCCCTACAATAACAATCAAGCTACTCACCACACAAGCGACAGAAGACATCCAGGCCGAGATCATACCTACTCCCCCTCCCTCCCCTTCCCCCACTTACAGAGTGCAAACCCGTGAGGGGGTAAGCACTTGCCATAGGTGTTAATGTCCATGCCCCCCCCCCAGCCCAGCAGGCCCCGAGGCACCCCGGCACACCAGAGGCCATGGCAGCAGGGCCAGACAGCCGGGTGTACACCGGCCCAGAACCCAAGCAGCACTCCCCACAGAACCCGAACCCCCACCGGGGTCCCCGCCCAAGGGCAATGCGCCCCAGGGATCCCAGGACCCGCCCCCCCCCCCCCCCCCCCCCCCAAACACCGAGCAACCCTCCACTCCCAAACCGCGCACGATGCACCGCACCACGCGCCACCGGCACCCGCCCCAACAGAGCTAAGCCACACCCAACCCGGGGGCACTCCAAAGGGACCCCCGACGCCCGCAACCAGCCCACAACAGACACACACGAACCCCGGCCACAGGCGCGACCACCCACGCACCCCCCCGGATGACGCAACCACGGCAAGCGCCACGGCCAACCAACGAAACCCGGCACCGGAAGACGAGGCACGCCCCGACGCCCCGCAGAGCAGAAGCACCCCGGCCAGCACCACAAAAGAACCGATGCCCGGCGACCAGCCCCACCCAGCAGCAGCACAGCCACCAGGCCAGTAGCCCACGTCCGCCACCACGGAACCCCCCAAGAGCACCGCACGCGGCCGCCGCAGGACCCCCCCCGCGGCGCCCCAGACCCCGCCCCGACGGGGGCATCAGTCCCCCGGGCCAGACCCGCCAGGCACCCCGCTCCGCGCACCCCCCCGAGCCC